GGAGTCACAATCAGGTGTGACTGCCGGGAGAGAGGGAGGTGTGAAGTCATTGTGCAATAGATCATGTCTTTTACTGATTACAGCAGCTGCACATAACATGTCAATACAACATAATAATAAATAATGAGAATTAACCAAAATAATCACTTATGAGGGGGAGGTGATTTGTATAGATAATAGAGGAGAGAGAGAAAATTAAAAATACATGTAATACCTTCTAAATGACATGAACATGTACATGCATGACAAATCCCAATATTGTATATTATATGTGTACATGATTACATGTTATAGCTCAAAACCTGGCCCATTTACATGTACATGTACATGTACAGGTTTATTCAAGTCAGGTCTAAGTTTATTCTTATTTTTTGTTATTGTTAAATGACATTTGAAATAAAACTAACTTTTAATCACGGTGACTGTACAGTAGAGTATCCAACCAAAATGAAACAACTGACTAGATGTACAGGGACAAGACCGTCATAAATTAAAAAATTTAAGTGAGAATCGGCTCAAACTTTCTACACCGATATTATTTCTCTCTCCATTAGTTCAGAATTATCTGCCAGCTGTGATAATTAACCTGACATAAAACCTAAAGAATGAGAGGGAGAGAAAAAAATTAAATAAAATTACAAAATTAATGCAGTATTAATATAAACATATGGTGTACATTGTAGCACAGAGAGGTACAAAAGTACATGTACATTTAATGATTTAAAATGGCATTTTGCACAAGTACAATGTACATAAAATTATAAAGCTATAATCGTAACTACAAATGTACACATTACACAATGTACATCACTTGCAAGTATATACAAGTATATGAAATTACAAAGTACATGCACATATTCACTTACCAAGTTGGTGTAATATAGAAGTAGCAAAGTCAATAAGCAAACAAATTAGCTGCTTTATAATACATGACAGACATCAGTCAAATACTTCACAAAATTAAAAGATGAATCTACTGTACTTCTGTATCAATAATAATCATGAGATTACACACGTTGTTATAATCAGACACACCCATGGTTCTCATGATATCCTTCCTTGTTTGGTATTAGCTGAGTAGAAAAAAGCTCATTAGTGACTCTTAATAAATTATCAGCAATGACATCAGTTAGTTTACTAGAATGAGTTTGTATAATATTTCCCTTGGGTTAATGCCTATATACAAATATAGATTAATGGCAGCAAGAGTAGATAATTATTTATCCACTCTTGATAGCAGTCATTGTATATGGAGCCTCTTTACCTGCTATGGGCCCAGGATCCAGCTCAACATCTCCTGATAAAAGGAGAATTTCATGAGCAAACTCCTTATGGAGGTCCATGAACTTGCTGGAGCTCCAAACACTAGAACTGGATTAAGGTCTGCATGAAGTATTACTGTGTAATTCTAAAGAACTTATGATAACAGTACATGAATCTGTACTAATTTGATCATTACAGCAAAAACCAAAATCAGCATTGA